GGTGGGGCCCGTATCTTCACGAGTGTGGGCGGGGCCCGTATCTCCCAGGAAGTGAGGTGTGGGTGGGGCCCGTATCCTCACGAGTGTGGGCGGGGCCCGTATCTCCTAATTGCATGTTTTGTTATATGATGTATGGTATGGGGTATTATGGGGGAGCTCACTAAGCTTTGTGCTTACGGTTTCAATTTTGGTTTCAGGTACCTCCTCAGCTAGGGGAAAGGAGCCGGCACGGTAGCAGCATGTCACACACACACTCTTCGGTTTCAGCATTTACGAGATTCACTGGGATTGTACTCTGATATTTGATGGATTGTATGGTTTGAATATTAAAACATGGTTTGCGATGTGCTATGGCGTGATCAAACAATACTTTTAATTATTAATGTTTTCTAAAAGTAATGTTTTAAAAATGAAATTTTTGGACATGAAAATTGGGTCGTTACAGAAAATATCGAAACGATTGAATTTCCACTTAGTATCATACAATTGCAAATATTCGTGAATCAGGGTGTTCTAAGAATTGAACCCGTCAAACCATTTGAATACCAGAAAGTAACATACATACTAGTTTATTGAATTTCTAGCATAATACAACTTAACACTATTATAAAGTCGTGTGTCCCAATCCTCTCATGATCGTGTCAAGGTCAAGTCCACAACCTCTTGAAATGCGGCTACACTTTACAATCACGTAGGTAACTCCTTTCCATGTATATGCACATCTATTTATCAAAGGAATTATTAAGAAGTTGAACTTCAACCTGGCTAACTTGCAGAACCGAACACATACCTGGGATGAATACTTCATGTGTTCCAATCTATAAGTATGAGCTTTCCACATTGAATTCAACTCCTAACATTATATTAGGAAGGAATTGGGTGTCTCATCATTATAGAATTAAATGGACTTTAATCCCATCCCGATTAAAGACTTGTGCACTAAGTCTCTTGTCAGACCTTTAGTCAAGTGATCTTCTAAATTATGTTGCGATTTCACAAACTCAACCGAAATTACAGCATTCATGATTAGTTCTCTAATCATACTATGTCTAACACCTAGGTGTCTAGACTTGCCATTATAAACCTGGCTATATGCCCTAGCCAAAGCGACAGCACTATCACAAATGATAGAAATAGGTGCTTTCGGTTTAGACCACAAAGGAATCTCATAGACTAAATTCCTTAGCCACTCTGCTCCTTTACCAGCAGTTGTTAACGCAACAAACTCAGATTCCATTGTCGAGTTTTTAATGCAAGATTGCTTCTTGGAAGCACAAGAAATGGCACCTCCCCCAAGCAAGAATACCCAACCAGAAGTTGAGGAATGGTCCTCCATGTTGGTAATCCAACTTCCATCTGAATGACCTTCTAAAACCGAAGGACTCCCCAAGTAACTCAAACCATAATTCATGGTTTCCTTGAGATACTTAAACTTTCTATTCACTGCTTGCCAATGTTGAGCACTAGGATCACTAGTGTACTTGCTCAACTTACCTACAACAAACGCAATATCATGTCTGGTACTTGTCATGGCATACATCAAGATACCAATAGCCTTATAGTATTCCAACTGTGAAATGGGAATACCATTATTTGGCATTAATTTCACACTTGGGTCCATAGGAGTATTCATAGGATAACAATCAGTAAAATTAAACCGCTTGAGAATTTTCTCAATATAATGACTTTGAGTCATTACCAATCCTTTTTTCATCCTCTTAATTCTTATTCCAAGAATTACATCAGCCTCTCCTAAATCTTTCATGGAAAACTTGGATGACAACAATTTCTTTGTTTCATCCACTTGATTTTGGTCGGTGCCAAAAATCAACATGTCATCTACATACAAGCAAACGATCACTCCAGCTCTAGTAGCATCATCAAATCTACTATAAACACATTGTTCACATTGGTTTGTTTTGAAACCAAAAGACAAAATCACCTCATCAAATTTTTGATGCCATTGTTTAGGCGCTTGTTTCAGCCCATACAAAGATTTGACAAATTTACAAACCATATGCTCTTTACCCGACATAATGAAACCTTCTTGTTGTTTCATGTAAACTTCCTCATCAAGATCACCATTTAAAAAGGCTGTTTCACATCCATTTGGTGAATAACCAGATTGTGGATACTTGCCAAGGCAACTAACAATCTAATAGTAGAAATACGTGCAACTGGAGTATACGTATCAAAATAGTCAATACCGGCTTTTTGTCTAAAACCTTGAATGACTAACTGGGCCTTGAATTTGTCAATGGTCCTATTAACATTCATTTTCTTTTTGAAAATCCATTTGCAACCAAGAGGTTTAGAACCCGGAGTCAAATCAGACAACACCCATGTATTGTTCTCAAGAATTGATGACATTTCATCATCAATCGCTTCCTTCCAAAAGGCACTATCCCGAGACTTCATGGCCTCTCGATAAGTCTTAGGATCATTTTCAATACTATAGCAATAAGAGTATTCAAGATTAATTTCATCCCTTGAACCTTCCACCAAATACAGTTGGAAGTCGGATCCAAAATTCTTAGCAATTTGGCCTCTTTTGCTTTTACGAATATCTTGTGGTTCTTGCACGACACCACCATCTTGACTTTCTGAATTTTGCTCTTTATTAGCATCAAAAGTCAGATCCTTAGGCCTTTGAATCGATGAAAACCTCATCTCATCAAAAATTGCGTCCCACGATTCGATAACAGTGTCTATTGAAACCGAATCATTAGGTTATATTACATAAAACCTATATGCCTTGGAATGTTTAGCATATCCTATGAATATGCAATCAATTCCACGTTCTCCTAAATTCTTCTTTTTGGGCTCGATAAGTTTTACAATTGCTCGTCATCCCCAAACTCGAAAATAACTCAAATTCGGTTTTTTCTTGAACCAAAGTTCATATGGGATTGTTTTTTTCCTTTTATTTGGAACCCTATTTAACAAATAGCAGGCCGTTAACATGGCCTCTCCCCATAATCCTTCACTCAATGCCGAGTAAGACAGCATCGAGTTTACCATTTCCTTTAAAACTCGATTTTTGCGTTCAACAATGCCATTCTGTTGAGCCATGTAAGGTCCCGTGGTCTCATGAATGACACCCACTAATTGGAAGTATATGGGATCCATATATTCACCTCCCTTATCAGTCCTGAGACATTTAACCGGAATTCCCAATTTCAATTCCACCTCGGTTTTGTATATTTTGAATTTATCTAAGGCTTCATCCTTAGAGTGCAACAAATACACATAGCAAAACCGAGTGCAGTCATCTATAAAAGTGACTACATACTTTTTATTCCCTAAAGAAGGAGTGGAATGAAAATCACATAGGTCACTGTGTACAAGCTCCAAAACAGCAGAATTTCTAGTGACACTAGGAAAGGGCTGTTTTGTCACTTTTGTAAGCATGCATGTTTTACATTTATCAGATGTCATATCAAAGGCTGGAATTATTCCATCTTTTGACATCTCATGCATCCTTCTAAAGTTGACATGACCTAATCTTACATGCCAAAGCATAGATTTATCAACATTAGAAGCAGAAGATACAAATGCAGAATTCTGAACATGTAATAATTTGTCAACAATATTCAAATGAAACATTATTAAATATCCAAAGCCAACAAACATTCCACTCTTTGACAAAACAAACTTATCCGACTCAATAACTTGTTTAAAACCATCATAATTCAAACAACTAGAGCTAACAAGATTCTTGCGAATCTTGGGAACAAAGAAAACATCAAATAACCTAATTGTCTTTCCATAAGTAAATTCAAGACACACGACACCTAAACCACAAATAGGAATAAAAGAATCGTCTCCCATTTTCAGCACCGAGCCATCTTCAAGCGGATTTAATGTTTCAAACATCCATCTATCCTTTCATACATGGTTCGTTGCTCCGGAGTCGATCCACCAAGCAACATCATCATCCTCCTTTCACTTAAGTCGAAGACCCGTTCACTTTCCCATTGGCTCTACTGTTTCCAGCACCATTGTTGCCCAAATTCACATGGCAATCACGCTTGCAATGTCCAACTTGATTGCACCTCCAACAAACCAAATCCTTTCTCTTTTTGTTGGAGTTACTTGGGACATGTTCTTGCTTATGTTTGCCATGGCCTTTGTGGTTCTGGTTCCTTGGTTTGTTTTCAACCATATGAACCGAGGGTTGTCCAGGTTCAACAAACCAAATCCGGATTGAGTCACCCATCTCTAGAAACAGATAATATCAGTTCGATTGTTTGGAAGATTAGCGTTTGCGGTGCAGATCTGGATACCAGCTTGGATCGTGATATCACTTTCTGAACTGATATTTCTACGCTATGCCTGGGTTACAAGAAATTTAGCCTAGGATAATCGAAGCAGACACCTACGTTTCTAGGCACAGAAAACGTAAGCTATTATGCTAAATGGTTCTGTGAATCTGTGATGAAAAACGAGAGCTAAAAACCGTCCCTCTTCTGGAAATGAAGAGTTGTTTATCTACTAAACACAATTAGGGTTTCATTAGGGTTGGGCCGTCATTAATTTCTTAGGAAGCAAGTAATATTAATCCGGATTAGGATTACCAAAAACTAACGAATTTCGTTAGATTTACCATAATCACCCTCAAGAAATTGAATTTTCCATTATATTTCATTAGGGTTGGGCCGTCATTACTTGCTTAGGGACCCCAGCCAGGGGCTCTGTCCCTTGGACCCCGCTAGGGGCGCTGCTCCTTTAAAAACCCCGAACCCGGGGCGCTGCCCCCGGACCCCGACTAGTCGTCAAATCGGCTTCTGACTCGATCTTATACATGCGTGCACTCCGCAAAAACCCATACATGTATTAGAGTACAAATGATGAAGCCCCTTAGCTCACATGTTAGTTCCAGTTACTTAAAATGACATGGTGACACTAAAATCACCAACATATTTTAGGTACAGTATGGTGGTATTTAACGACATGTTTAGGTGGCATTTCAACACACATTCGACATTCCTTTCATCATCATGTCTACCTATTTCTGGTGTTCCTCATTTCGAAGACAACAAATTTGCTATATTATTTTCTTCATCTATTCCTCCCTAATTTTCCTGCCATTGTCTGAATCAGTGTACTTCGAGTTCACTATTTTTCGTGTGGGCAAAACTAGTATAGTATATTCAGGAGCTACCAAACCATCTGGTGGAGCCATTGAATTCAACGAAGTCAATATTTTCAATCGTGTTGGCCATGCGAATTACGCAGATGCAGTCCAGATATGGGACAGCAAATCTAACAAGCTAACAGATTTCACCACTCATTTCACTTTCATCGTCAAGATGCAACCTTTAGAAGACCTTGGCCATGGCTTAGCTTTCTTTCTTGCTCCGGTTGGCTTCCAAATCCCACCGAACTCAGATGCTGCCAATTTAGGCTTGTTCAACACAAGTTACAATAAATTATCCCAAAACAAAATAATTTATGTTGAGTTTGATTCTAAGAATAACACCTGGGATCCTCCATTTCTAGGGGTGTTCGTTTGGATGGATCGGTTTGATCCGATCCAATCAAGTGAATCAAAATAGATTTCGGTTTTCAAAACATTGATTCGAATAGTCCAAACTATATTTAAATCCGATCCGATCCAACAAATTACAATTCGGTTGGATCGATTTTTACAATTCGATTTTTATGAGGCAAGGCATTTTGAAAAATATATAACTTGAATATTAGCAAATTGTAAAAAGAAACTATTTTTATTTTTATTATAAATTATAATTTATGAACGAATACTAAGAAAATATATTATAGTTAATATTTCATTGACAAAAAACTTTTGATAAGAAAATATATTGTAGTTAATATTTCATTGTTATTCGGGTTTTTTTGGACTATTCGGTCATTAGTTAATAAACCAAAACCAATCCGAAATCCAAAATAATAATTCGGTTTTGCTGAAAACCAATTCAAAAATCTGAATATCCGAACCAAATAGACCGATCCAAATTGTCCAATTGGACAATTCGGTTTCATCCAAATAGTGAACAACCCTATCCATTTCAACACGTGGGTATCAACACGAACTGGATTGAATCTGATAATTCAACCGCTTGGAATGCTAGTTTGCACAACGGGGATCCTGCTAATGTTTGGGTTTCTTACAATGCTAACACCCAGATGCTGAACCTGTCTTGGCAAGTTGACCTCAGGAAAGTTCTTCCTGAGTGGGTCACAATTGGATTTTCGGCTGCCACTAGTAGAGCTCGTGAGAGACATATCCTTCAATATTCATAAAGTTGAAGATACGTCAAAGAAAAGGAAACTAGCAGTGGGCTTAACGGTCCCTCTGGGTGTTCTAGCTGTAGGAGTCGTAATCACATGGGATTTATTTTGGCATAAAGAAGATAAGCCTAGTCAAAAGTCACTAGAGTCAGTTGCGTTGACATCGACAAACCATGATCTGGAAAAAGGAGAAGGACCTAAGCGATTTTCTTATGAGAATCTCATGTTAGCTACCAACAACTTCTCTGCTGATCAGAAGTTGGGTGAAGGAGGATTCAGGTGTGTCTACAAGGGGTACTTATCCGGTGAACGAATGCAAGTTTCTATCAAGAAAATTTCACATGGTTTAAAATAGGGAATGAAATAGTACCTAGTCGAAGTAAAGATCATTAGCAGGTTAAGACACCAAAACTTGGTCCAACTCATTGGTTAGTGCCATGATCAAACACAATTCTCTCATATTTATGAGTTTTTGTCAAACGACAGCCTCGACTCTCATCTCTTCTACAAAAAAAGTATCCTTGAATGGGGTGTAAGGTACAAGATCGCTACAGGTATAGCTTCTGCTTACTCTATCTGCATGAAGAGTGTGGACATTGTGTGGTGTATCGAGATGTCAAAACGAGCAACATCATGCTTGATTTGGAATTTAATGTGAAGCTTGGAGACTTCAGATTGGCTCGACTCAAGGACCCTGAACATGGTATAAAAACAACTGCTTTAGCTGGAACTCTCGGTTACATGTTCCCTGAGTACTTAACAACAGGGAAGGCAAGTAAAGAGTCGGATATCTATAGCTTTGGGGTGGTTGCATTAAAGATCGTTTGTGGGAAAAAGGAAATTGATAGAGTTGATCCATATTCGGATCTTGGGTTGGTTAAGTGGGTTTGGGGTTTACATGAAAAAGGTAAGCTACTTTATGGTGTCGACCAGATCCTGAACAATGAATTTGATGCTCCACGGGTCGAGTGTTTGATGAAGGTGGGGTTATGATGTGCGCACCCTGAACAGAATATGTAGCCATCCATACGAAAAGCAATTAATATACTCATGTTCGACGGTGCAATCCCACAACATCCATTAAGGATTTCGGTACCCATATACAACTCAACCACATATCACCTTGAAGTCGGTTCTTGTGGGGCTACGATGGCTAAGTGTTATGGATGCTAAATATGGAAAGACCTACAAGCGTTGACCTAAGGAATCTAAGGAGTAATTCGGTTCGATTTTTCTACATGCTATTTTAGTTAAAGATTTCAATATATGTCTAGTTAATTAGAATATTTAGTTTCCTTTTCCAGTATCTTGTTATCCCTATTTAAAGGGTAAATTATTATGAAATAAGGCATGCAACTATTCAGTCAAAACCCTAGCCGTATTCTTAGATTACTGATCAAGCTTAGTCTCCTTAGAGGGGGCTAGGCTAGTCTTTGTGAATGGATTCCAGCAGCACATACACAGGTAGGATTACACGAGCAAGATCCCGGGCCATATCAAATTTGGTATTAGAGCCGCTCGTGATGTCGATGCATGTAGGTCTTTCCATATTTAGCATCCATAACACTATTCCCCTGGGAGGATTGATAGAATTTTCAGGAGGCATATCCAGACTTTATGATTCAACAGACCTAGCAAACAACAGAGGAAGAAAGTGTAGTTGGTGAAAAAGATGGAATCATTTATGAATCAACAGACCCAGCAAACAACAGACATAATGACAGCAATTGAAAGCTTGAAGACCAAGCAATCCGCACTTGAGGAAGCGTTGTTGTCCCAAAGACAAAATATGTTAAACAAACAGGTGATAGAGGAAGAAAGTGTAGATGGCGATCACGAAGGGGAATGGTTTAGTGATCCACAAGAACAAGGCCGAGGAAGGGGTAGAGGTGCTATTTTCGGCAACCAACCGAACACCAAAGGACTAGGCCTCTTGGGGGTGGTCGGTAGAGGTAGAGGACGACAAAAAACCAACTGGAAAGAATAGGGAGGGGAGAAGTAAAGAATGTCGAGTTATTGAGAACTAAAGAACCACAACCGTTCAAGCATAACTGGGGGTACAACAAGTTTGAAGGGAGTAATTGGGGGCACAACAAGTTTGAAGGGACCATCCGTCGGGAACCAGATCCATCAAGGATGTTCGAGGTTCATGATAATACAGGATACAAGGACAACCGGGAGGAGATAGGGTACCGGGGTAATAGGGTACCAAGGTTTCCAAAGATGGAGTTTCCTATATATGAGGGTAAAACTGACCCGATAGAGTGGATTCAAAAGTGTGAGGATTTCATTGAAGAACAACAAATCCCTATTGATGCTTGGGTTAGGCAGGCAACATTTGCTCTTCAGGGACGTGCCAACAGTTGGTATCACAACCTCAGGAGAATGAGAGACAGATTGTATTGGTATGAGTTTTTAGAAGAGTGTAAAATACGGTTCTGTGCACCTATGAGCATGAACCCACTAGGTGAGTTAACTTGCTTAAACTAGTTCGAAACAGTAGAAGACTATTGTGAGAAGTTTGAGTCTCTTTTGAGCCAAACCAATGGCGTCACACCCGAACAGAGCATTTGGCACTTCTGTGTTAGGTTGTCGAGTGTCATTGGGTATGAGGAGGAATACACAAGGCCGACTACCCTGTATTTTGCCATGAATTTAGCAAGACAAATTGAACTTAAGGTGTCGGAGGAAGGCCAAATTAGGAGCTTTGGAGCCCCGCCGGTAGGTGGAAAACAAACAATAGGAGGGAGTAAAAACCGAGAAACCACCGGAAACATTGCTAAACCAAGAAACCCTACTTGGAAACGCCTTACAGCCCCCGAGATGGTTGAAAGGAGAGCTAAAGGACTCTGCTTCAACTGTGATGAGATATTTCGGCAGGACACAAGTGCTCTAAATTGTTTTGCATCATGTTGACAGATGATGATGAGGAAGGGGCAGAGGTAATCATACCAGAAATTTCATTGAATGCTATTACAGACACTACAAGTGACAAGACCTTCCAAGTACGGGCAGTTGTGGGGAATGGAGTGGCTTGGGTGCTGCTTGATAGTGGGAGCACCCACAATTTCATTGCTGCGAAAGCCGCAGAAGATTTCCAAATTCAAGTGCGACATCAGCCAGGTTTACGCGTTGCGTTACCTGATGGTGGTAAAATGGCGAGCAACGGGGTAAGTCGTAACTTACACATGACAGTCCAAGGGTATGAATTCTTGGCTGATTTCTTTTCCATTCCATTAGAAGTATTTGATATTGTTTTAGGCATACATTGGCTTAAAAGTTTGGGCCCTATATTATGGGATTTTACAGTTAGAGAGATGGCTTTCAAAGTTAATAATAGGCTGATTAAATGGCATGGTGAATCCCCATAGCGAGTCGCGCTAACCGCCCTGGTGCATCAGACGATTTGGCCCTCGACTTTGATGACCTACTTGGCTCTTTTGTAGATATATTTGAAAAACCTCAAGGGCTTCCACCCTCTCGTCTTTGTGACCACCGGATCTGACTTCATAATGGTACTGAACCTATTGCAGTCCGCCCTTACCGCTACCCCCACCTTCTTAAAGATGAAATTGAAAAGCAATGTTATGTGATGCTCCAAAATGGTACCATCAGATCCAACCAATCTCCATTTTCTTCAATGGTTCTTTTGGTTAAAAAACATGATGGCTCATGGAGATTTTGCATTGATTATCGGGAATTAAACTCAAAAACGGTTAAAGATAAATTTCCCATTCTAGTGGTAGAAGAGCTCCTTGAGGAATTACATGGAGCAACTTTCTTTTCAAAGTTAGATTTGGCCTCAAGCTACCATTAGGTTCGCATGGCAGCCACTGACATCAAGAAAACAACATTCTGAACCCATCATGGACACTTTGAGTTTCTTGTAATGCCATTTGGCCTATCGAACACGCCATCGACATTTCAAAGTTTAATGAATGATGTTTTTCGCCATCAACTTTTTAAGTATGTCTTACTTTTTTTTATGACATTTTAATTTACAGTAAAACAGGAACAGAACATTATCGTCATCTTCAAACTGTCTTAGGTTTGTTGTGTGCTCATGGTCTGTTTCTAAAAAATCAAAGTGTTCATTTGGTTGCAAAGATGTGGTTTATTTGGGCCATATAATTCACCAAGATGGCATTTATGTTGACCAAAATAAAATCCAAGCGATACAAGAATAGCCTAAACCATACAACATTCGAACCTTACGAGGATTCCTTGGTTTGGCGGGGTATTATCGCAAATTTATTCGCGATTATGGGATTATTGCTACACCATTGACTGGCATGCTTAGACGAAATGGGTTTGTTTGGAGTGATGAATCGGACGCGACCTTTACATTCCTAAAACAAGCACTATCAGAATCACACGTTCTTGCATTACCCGACTTTACTACTACCTTTATAGTCGAATGTGATGCCTCGAGTAGTGGGGTAGGCACGGTTCTCCAACAACATAACCACCCAATTGTGTTTTTCAGCCAAAAACTTGCAGATCGACACCATAAGCTTCCAACATATAAGCGGGAGTTGATTGGTTTGGCAAAAGCAGTCACTTATTGGCGTCCGTATTTGTGGGGTCTTCCTTTTATGATCAAAATGGATCATTATAGCTTGAAGTTTCTGCTGGAACAACTCCTTACCACATCATCACAACAACATTGGGTTAGTAACCTTCTTGGGTTTGATTTTGAGGTTGAGCATCGGGCCGTGGCACTGAACCGGGCAGCCGACGCCTTATCATGACGGGAGGAAGATATTCAACATGGTGAGTTATACACGATAGCTCATGTCTGCACTGATGTTTTAACGGATGTCTGGACCGAATTTGAAAAATCAGCCGTCCTTAGTGAATTGCGTGATCGAATTTTAGCAGAGGAAGAAAATGCCAAGTGGTTGGTGGTGAACGGGCTGATTCTCTACGAAGGACAGGCGTATTTACAACCAACATCCCCACTAATTGAACTGGTTCTTTCAGGTATTCATGATGCCACACATGAAGGAAATCAAAAAACTATGGAACACATTCGATGGGAATTCTATTGGAAGGGTTGGAAGAAAAGGATTCAAGACTATATTCGGCATTGTCTCGTATGCCAACGAAACAAATGGGAAACACTACAATCAGCCGGTCTCTTATAGCCCCTACCCATTCCGACGAGCATTTGGGGTGATGTGTCCATGGATTTTGTGGAAGCTCTTCCGAAAGTTTTGGGTAACTCAATACTTTTAGTCGTGGTAGACTGTTTCTTTAAATATGCCCATTTTTGCCACTAGGACACCCGTATACGGTTGAATCTGCGGCTCGAGTTTATTTATTAATTTTTTTTTTCTGAAATCGATCGCCTACATGGTCTTCCCAAAACTATAGTGTCTGATCGTGACAAAGTCTTCCAGAGTGTGTTTTGGAAGGATTTATTTTGTTTATCAGGGACAAAACTATCTTTTTCAACAGCTTATCACCCATAGAGTGATGGCTAAAAAGAGGCTCTTAATCGAAAAATCGAAATGTACTTGAGATGTTAACTGGAGATAGGCCTCGTCGATGGCTGATGTGGTTACCATGGGCAGAGTATTGTTATAATACCTCTTATCACACGGCTCTCAAAATCACACCTTTCAAGCTCATCTATGGAAGAGATTTACTCGTTTATTGAACTATGATGGAGGGCATTCTAAGGTAGAGGCAGGCGACCAAGCTTTAATCGATCGTGCGTCATTTATACAAGAAGCCACCATGTGTCTCTCGGAGGCACAACAACGCATGAAGTCAACGTATGATGAGCATCATCGAGCATTGGAGTTTTACGTGGGGGATTGGGTGTGGCTGAAATTGCAGCCATATAGGCAATGGCGGTTTCTAAGGCAACTTTCACCAAGCTTTCTCCAAAGTTTTATGGGCCTTCGAAATAGTGGAACGAATTAAGGTGGTTGCATATCGCTTGGCTTTACCAGAAGGGAGTCATATCCACAACGTTTTCCATGTTTCCTTGCTAAAATCGCATCATAGATCTTCACCAACTGTAGTTACTGAATTACCACCTCTTTTGGATGGCAAAACATTGCTTGCACCCTTTAAGGTACTACGAGGTCGTAACACTCAAGGCAAGCCAGAGTTGTTGGTTAAATGGGCTGCTGGAGCAGAGGAAAGTGCTACCTGGGAGGATTGGCAGACTTTTCAGGAGGCAAATCCAGATTTTGAGCTTGAGGACAAGCTCAATATGGAGGAGGGGAGTAGTGTTATGGATGATAAATAAGGAAAGACCTACAAGCGTCGACCTAAGGAAGCTAAGGAGTAATTGGGTTCAATTTTTCTGCATGCTATTTCAGTTAAAGATTTCAATATATGTCTAGTTAATTAGAATATTTAGTTTCCTTTTTCCAGTATCTTGTTATCCCTACTTAAAAGGTCAATTATTATGAAATAAGGCATGCAATTATTCAGTCAAAACCCTAGTCGTATTCTTAGATTACTGATCAAGCTTAGTCTCCTTAGAGGGGGCTAGGCTAGTCTTTGTGAACGGATTCCAGCATTACATACACATGTAGGATTACACGAGCAAGATCTCGGGCCATATCACTAATAGTACTAGCTAGCTATGATATAGTAAGTTGAAGATGTATAGTACCCATTTTTAGAAAGTGTGTCGTTTTTAATTTTTTATAGTGTGTAACCATAACAAGTCCACAATCCACCAAGTACGCCCTCAAGATCTGTTGATTCTAAACACAATAAGAAGGAATTAGAGAAGGAAGGAACACAGTGAACACATAGTTTTCTGTTGAACGTATCATCTATTCTTGTGTATTTCAAAACTAGGGAAATACAAAGTACTTAAAAGAAACAAAATAACTAACTACCTGATACATAGTCAAAGCAGAAACAAAGCAGAAAAATAGCCCCTAAGGCAACTAAATAAAACATGGAAATAACAAACTTCAATGTGCAAATATGAACCGGTCAAAGTGACCTAATGATGTGGACTACATGATGTTGCAAGCCAACAAAATCCTCTCACATCATGCTTCTTCATTCCAAGCGGAGTAACAAATTCAACAAGAACAGGCTTTGACCATCCTTTGGTTATCATGTCTTCAATTTACTGCATCAAGAGATAGCTTCAAGAGACAGCTCCTTGGCCCAACATAAACACGTGGCTAGTGGTAGAGCGACGGGTGCTTGGATCTCCAACACAATCGGCTTCACAAAACCCTGTTAACTTCAAAATTTTCTCCCTCTTGAATGAGATTCCAAACTCCATGGTTGCTTTAACGTATCTAAGCACCCTCCTAATAGTATGTAAGTGTGGCTTCCTAGCTAGGCTCCTACATAAACGTGCTCAGCATTCCAACGAAATATGCCAGATTAGGCTTTTATAATGTAATATAGATTAAGCTACCAGCATCCTTTAATTTCATACATGGTGGCATATTCTGACAATGAACGTTCATGCTAATACAATTTGGAGTTTGGATCTATAGGAG